ACTTATTTCCTAACCCTCAGGAACAAAAAGAAGAGAGGTTTGAAGGGGAAGGTCAGCGTTCGGGATACTGAAGGAGTCAGGAGAATAAACTTTGGTTGTTAATATATGAGTTGGCAGCTGAGCTCCATCCTCACCCATGCCCACAGGACTGCTGGGGGCTGGTCCCACCCAAGCCCAAGCACTCACAAGTCCTGCACTGCTCAGTAATCAAGAAATGCAAAGTAATTACACCTTGGCCTCCAGAGCCTGTGAGCCCAAGCTGTATCACCCCAGCGTGGGCTTGGGAAGCAGGGTGAGAAACAACCAGGAGCTTCAGTCTCTGTCGGGTGAGACTCTGAAATAAATAATTGTAGCAGGATTAATATTTCACAGGGGCTGGGCTTGGAGACCATCAGAATGGAATGAGTATTTCACAGGAGCAGCGTGCCCAAGCCCTGGGGCGGGAGATCCAGGAATCCGGATGGGGGATTTTTCAAGGATGGGGGGAGTTGGACAAGTAGGGCAGGAGCTGGGAGTGCTGAGATGAGGAACAAGTAACTCAGGGTGCCCGTGTGTGGGAAAGGGCTGGATAAGCACCACCCCCTCGCTGGGGTTACTGCAGCTCCCACCACCAGCAAGCAGGAGCCTCGAGCAAAACGGACACAGAGCTGTGCAGCTACCAGATGAGATTTACCCATCACTGCTTGGCCTTTTCGTGAACAATCTCTGCCCTGTCTTGCTTTTCTTATCCACACCAGGAGCCCAGCCCCGCGCTGAGCACCTGGCAGTGCCCTTCGAGCCCCCCATCACTCAGCCCCAAGGCTACGGGGATGGCGAGCACTGCTTTCTCCAGGACAGAGCCTGGAGCGGGTTTCCCTGCCCCCTGGCAGGCTTTCTGCACTCATCGACTGCAAACCACAAATGCAGCTGCCCAAAACCTCAGCAGAGAATCAGCATCGCTCAAAGCCCTGGCAGTAGCAGCCCTGCCCAGGCACAGGGGGAGACACACAGCCTCCCCCAGGACCCAAGCGAAAGCAGCATGCTGGAACACACCACGCTGTTCTCCATATTTTTCATACTACACAGTAACACCACAAAAAGGCAAATTCCTGTGGATAAAGGGGGAAAGATGGGGCAGCAAAGAGTCACAGAAAACAGACTCATTTCTGAGAAATACTCTTTTCTGCTTAGCAAACAAGCACTTTCTGTTTGCATCCATCAAACAAACATGCTTGATTTTGTTTTGTTTTGCGGCCAAGTTATCATTTCTCCAGAATTATTTCAAGAGCACAACAGGGGCAAAATAAATTTGCAAAACAGGCTTAGGTAAACCATGGCAGATCTCAGTGGCAAAGTGCAGGGCCCTTTTCAAAGCCTGAGTAGAAACCACAGGAAACATCAGGGTTAAAAAGCAGCTTTGACTCATGTTAAACTCAGATTTGACTTCCAGCATTAGAATCAAAGGGGGAACAAATAAAGGCATCGCTTCACCCTGCCAAGAAAACCAGGGGAGGTGTACAGAGGAGCCTGTGAAAGAAGTGGTGCTGGCCCTACAGCCAGATCTGCTCGCCATCTGCCTGGGGCACCAGTGAATTTGGGGGGATACCGTGCAAGCGCCTGTGCATGCTGATGGGATCGTCAGAGCCTCGCCGTGGAAAGTGCTGACTGACGCCAATTAAAGTGAAATCATAATCAAGCCATTTGTTTTGGTGCTGAGAGAGTTGCTCCAAAGGTCTCAGCAACGCCTGGGCTTGGTTCAAGTGTCGGAGGGAAGTTCAGGAGGGCCCTTCTCCAGCATGAACCACTCGCTACTGGTGCTGCCTGGACATGGTGGGAGGGGGTGCAGACCATCCTCATCCTCATGATGGGGCCTTGGGAGGTCCAGCACGACAGCCAGCTCTGACCTTCACACACACGCGAGCCCTCGGTGTAACCCCAAGAGCAGGAGCAGCCCCAGCTCAGGGACCAACACATGCAGCAGTAAAAATGCCCATTTTCAACCCAAAATGTTCGACCCAACACCCACAGACCCTATTGCTGCAAGTTTTGCTGCACCCAGGAGCAAATCTTGCCCCTCCTATCCCATATGGTAGCTCTATCCAAAGGCCTAAATCTAGGTTTAAATTTAATACAGTGATCTAAAGTTCTGGTACTGAAGCAAGACACATGACTGCACCCTCCAGCAGCTATCACAAGACAGAAGGAAATATCTGAACATCTCTGGTGACTCTGGTCCTAAACTGACTCCTAACGGTAGATTTACAGTAGCTGGGTTTGCACGGAGCAAAGCCTGAGCCCCTCACAACGGGGGAGCCTCCTCCCAGCCATCAATCCAGCTTCTTCCTCCGGTGCTGAATTAGCTCTGCTTGAAGGGGCGGCAGGGACAGAGCTGAAAAGAGTCTCCTTGGCAGGGCACCGCTGCTCGACAGCAGCTTGGGGTCCTCGGCACCCCGCCACCCCAGATAAAATAACTTCCAACAGCCATACCCTCTCCCTGGGAGGGCACAGAACTTTCCGAGTGAGAAGCGGCAACGTCTGCTGCTAAGTTCTCAGCTTGCTCTCCCTTTTGTCGGCTGTGAAAAACCAAGAAGGGACCTCTAGAAACATCTCTTCCCTTCCAAATCCTTGGCTGCGACTCAACATGCTCCCACCTCGCATGGAAACGTGTGGGAAAAGAGGAGACCCTTTTTTTTTTTTTTAGCTTCCCCTGCACACTTCCCTGACTGCCACCCTAGCAGGGCTGCTGCCTGCACGCTGGGCAGGAGGAGGCCGGGGTCCCCGAAGCCTTTCTGAGCAGCATTGCTATTCTGAACAAGTTAACTCCTCCACAACAGATCGATGGTTACGCCGGGCTGCGGCCGGGAGGGGAGCGGGCAGGAAGATTCACGCTTCCTTGATTTCCTCCTCTGGAAACGTGTGGTTTTCACGTGCTCTTCTCCTCCCGGCTCCTGCCACAGCGCAGCACGGCTGCAGGGACCGAGACCTACCGGGGAATGCAGCATTGCCTGCCCGACTCACCGCTCCCACCTCAAACCAGACAGAAAATGCCCCAACACGTAAAACACAGTCCTCTCCGGCTACCGAACCGGTGTGCCGAGGTGGTGGCAGCAACAAGCCATTAATTTCCAAGAGTAACGCCCACTCCAGGGGCATGACAGCAGGAATCTCACCGGCACAGTTTGCACACCCCAAAGCCCACGTGCCCGTGTCCTGGGGGATGCTCGGATGGGCCACCCATCTGCGCAGCGACACGGACATCCCCTGCCACCATTCCAGCTCCCCAGCTGAACCGGGACGCGCATACGGCAGCTCTGGGGGGATGACAAGCCCGCTGCCTGCCCTCCCTCTCTCCAGGGCCACCTCGCAGGGCCACCATTTGCCCCCTTCCCACCAGGCCTCACGGACAGAGGACAGCATCCCTCCTGCTGACTCACCCCAGCTCTCCTTTGTTCTCCACTGACACCGGGTGAGCACTCGGTGCCGGGGCAGGGCACCAGCACGATCTGTGCCACCAGCGCTTTGCAGGACCCCGCTACGGCGTGAACAATTCTCCTCCTTCCAGTAAGTTTGCACAGCACCCGTTCCCGTACCACCCCGCAGCTGCCACCCTTCCTGTGCATTTTGCACCTCCAGTAACCCAAACCCCTCCCTCTCCGACACCCCGGTGGCAAGATCTGTAGGATTTTCAATGCTTGGGAGAGTGCTTCAGGAGAGGAAAGGAGCTACTTTTTTTTTTTTTTTTTTTTTTTTTAAAGCCAAGCTCAGCGGGGCAAATTCCTAAGAGAGACACCCTGTCCTCCAGCCTCAGCCACCCATTTCCAAGCTGCTTTGCCCAGTCGTGCCATGACGCAAGATGAATCGGGAGGGACGGCCACAACACGGCTACCTCCCTCCCCCCTGGGAACATACGAGGGCTGGGGTGGACGAGAGGTTCGGCTGCAAACGGCTGAGTTACAGGAAATAACACAGGCAGGGGATTCACATTTCCAAGGGTCAAACCATCGTTTAAGTCCTCCCCCCACCTGAAAAGAGACCTCTGGATGAAATTCCTCCTTAAGGTATTTTTTTTGCCCTGGCTTGGCCCTGCTCCCCACTGGCTGGCGTAAAGCAGGAGTGCGGCTTTCACCGCACACACCCAGCTGGCCCCGCAGATGTTGGGTGTCACCTATGGAGGAAAGTCACTCCCGAGCACACCGGAGTTGCAAGCACCGCTCCTCATCGCTCTGATTATAACCTGGCTTTTTATTTTTAACGTCCCTATCAAACACCCCCCGGGATGACTGCGCCCATCTGCTGCGAGGACAAGGGACGAGTATCTGGGCGTACGATGTCCCAGAAGTTAAACCGATCACAATTACGGTTTCCTTGGCAGCCCCCACACCCCTCAGATAGTTGTCGCAGGTGAACAGGACTCCAGCGCAACACCCAGCCCCACGTCTCCCCCCACCCCGAGGAGTTAATGCTGGCAGGGAGCAGCACCTCCCCTGTCCCTGGAGCAAGGGGGTTTTTAAGGAGGGCGGCATCCGCCTGCCTGAAACCAGCCCCATCCTGCGCTGCCCCCTCATCCCAGCAAGTCTGCACATGGGGAAAAGGCACAAAACCCCACTGGGGGGTAGGGCAACAACTCCCCCTCTCCCCAGGCTGGGGCACAAAGGCACCCCCGGCGCTACACCCCAGGGAGCAGAGTGATGTTTACCCCCACCAAAGTCGTGATCATTGACAGCAGGAGCCCAGCCCATGGTGTAGGGCGGGGGGCCGAGAGGGAATAGCACTCCCCTTTTTTCATCCTTCAGTAACTTTCCCGGAGACAACTGGTGGCGGAGGGGGGGGCGCTAAGCCAAAGCCCAGTCCCCTGGTACCCTAATCCTCTCAGCTCGCTGCTACCGATCGACACGATGCATCCATTCACCGTGGGGAAACTGAGTCACGTTCCCAAAGGCACCAGCTGCCCTCCCCATGCAGTGGGACCCTCCCCACCGTGGTGCCCCCCAGCCCCAAGACAGAAACATAGCTGCTCCTACCTGAGCGTGGCACTCTCCCCTTGCCGCACAGTCACGTTGTCCATAGCTTTGGGGAAGGTGGCATCTCCGCTGCGCACGGGCACTCCTGCGGGCACAAGGAAGAGCAGCCTGAGACAGAGGACGACTAGGCACCTCCAGGGCAGGGCTAAGCACCCACCGACCCCCATCCTGGGCAGCAGGGACTTTTCCAACAGGCAAAAAACACACCCGACAAGGCCACCAGGAGCGAAAAGCGGGTGGGGTGGGGTGG